CACTGCTGGCAGTGTGACGTGCAGCAGGGTGACTTTTACTTGAGTCCATGCACAGTCTGGAGGACTGTTTCAGTTCTTTCTGAACCATGTCAAGCTCCTCTTAGTCAGGGTTTGGACTTCAGCTCTGGCTGCATGCAGATGGCCTTCTAAGGCCTTAGTTCTAGTGTCTTTCTCATTAAGTTCCACATACGCTGTTTTTAACAGTGACTTTGTGTGAAAAAGTTCTCTTTCCAAGTCCTGTCTGATGGCTTTTTTCAGCTGTGCTCGGCATCCAGCAGCTGGTGATTTCCTTCTGTTGCGCCATTCTGTAAGGTTCTTTGCATCTGTTCTGTGCTTTCTCTCGTTGAGCAGGTGTCAGTTCCCTGTAGAACTCTGTGACTTGCAGGTTCAGTTCATTTACCTCCTGTCTGAGGCCCTTGAGGGTGTGGGCCAAGGAGAAGATGATGCTGGTCAGATCCTGGTGGTTCAGGCTGGGTGTCAGGTGTCCACTTGTGTCACAGTCTTGCTGTTCCTTTGGCTGCTTTGGGCTGAGGGATGTCCATCACAGTGCTCTGCTGGGTTTGCAGGTGGTCCTGGTGATCAAATAAACAAAACTGAAATAAAATCAGGAAGAGACAGAGAGAGGAGGAAGGGCTTTCCTTATTTAGTTTAAGCTAGGAGATACGACTAAGTAGTTGTCACTTGTTAAAAGGAATGCTGCAGCAGGGTCATAAAACCTAGGGGGTCTGTAGCTAAGCTAGCAGGGACACATCAAACACCTCAAGGTACATGAACAGAGACACTAGGAAGTGTTTCTAGTCTTCTCAGGGGCCTGTAGCATAATGAATGGTAACTGTACCTTATATAATAGGCCTGGTGCTGAGGAGTAAGGAGGGGTATAAAAGAGACAGGAAATAGGGCTACCAATATCCTGTACGGCTCATTAAGGAGACAACAGTTGCCAGAACTGCTATAAAAGAGGGAAGATGGTGATGGTCAAATAAACTAAAATAAGGTAAAAGTAAAATGAAATTATCCTAATAGCTGTAGGAAACCAAAAGGAGGAATGAATAAACAAATTGATTTAATTAAATCTCTGATTAAATTAAAATCAACTTAGCTGAATTGGTACATTCAAGCTAAACAAAGGTAAATTCATTAAATATGATCAAAGACAAGTAGAATGAAGTCAAAATAAAAATAACACAAAAAAAAACAAGTATGTGGGGAAGGACAGGGACACATCAAACACCTCAAGGTACATGAACAGAGACACTAGGAAGTGTTTCTAGTCTTCTCAGGGGCCTGTAGCATAATGAATGGTAACTGTACCTTATATAATAGGCCTGGTGCTGAGGAGTAAGGAGGGGTATAAAAGAGACAGGAAATAGGGCTACCAATATCCTGTACGGCTCATTAAGGAGACAACAGTTGCCAGAACTGCTATAAAAGAGGGAAGATGGTGATGGTCAAATAAACTAAAATAAGGTAAAAGTAAAATGAAATTATCCTAATAGCTGTAGGAAACCAAAAGGAAGAATGAATAAACAAATTGATTTAATTAAACCTCTGATTTAATTAAAATCAACTTAGCTAAATTGGTACATTCAAGCTAAACAAAGGTAAATTAATGAAAATAAAATCAAAGAGAGGCAGAATGAAGTCAAAATAAAAATAATACAAATAAAAACAAAGTATGTGGGGAGGGACCGACCTAACTGAATCCAAGGAGAAGGTGATAGCACAAACAGTAAGTGAAACCAGGAGTGAGGGGGAGAGAGAAAGAGGAGTGGTATGAAAGTTACATTTTACACTCACTATCTAAGTGTTAGTCAGATGCTAACAGCTAGCAGTTGAGGTAAAGGGCTTAGCTCATGTGCCTGTATGGCTGCTAAAAAGTTAGCGTTGGCTACACGCAGTTCTTTGTTTACACAAAGGTCTGTGACGTGTGTGCTGTTATCAGATTGAGCCGGAAGAGCCTGCTCGCACCTCCGGGGTCAGACGTTGCTAAGAGACCGATGCAAGCTTACAACACGCGCAAGTGGAGCAGAACTTGCGCTGCTGTAAATATGCATGGGAAACTTAAGCCCAGTAAGTTATGACTAGAGCCCGACCGATATGGTTTTTTTGGGGGCCGATACAGATACCGATATTAGGGAGTAAAAAAGACCGATACAGATATATCGGACTACCCTAATAGCTGTAGGAAACCAAAAGGAAGAATGAATAAACAAATTGATTTAATTAAACCTCTGATTTAATTAAAATCAACTTAGCTGAATTGGTACATTCAAGCTAAACAAAGGTAAATTCATTAAATATGATCAAAGACAAGTAGAATGAAGTCAAAATAAAAATAACACAAAAAAAAACAAGTATGTGGGGAAGGACCGACCTGATTGAATCTTAACAGAAGGTGATAGCACAAACAGTAAGTGAAACCAGGAGTGAGGGGGAGAGAGAAAGAGGAGTGGTATGAAAGTTACATTTTACACTCACTATCTAAGTGTTAGTCAGATGCTAACAGCTAGCAGTTGAGGTAAAGGGCTTAGCTCATGTGCCTGTATGGCTGCTAAAAAGTTAGCGTTGGCTACACGCAGTTCTTTGTTTACACAAATGTCTGTGACGTGTGTGCTGTTATCAGATTGAGCCGGAAGAGCCTGCTCGCACCCCAGTGCACTTAACAGTAAACTTCACTTCACTTATTATAAATAACTTAACACAAATAGAACAAAATATATATCACTTGAATTAAGAAATTAAACAAGGTAGTTGGAGTACAATAATCTAACCTTGAGGTCATGAACGCATGAATTAACATTTCTGCATTTGACATTGAGAGCATGGGTCATAATTTAGATATATTTTTGAGATGGAAAAATGCAGTTTTACAAATGCTAGAAACGTGGCTTTCAAAGGAATGATTGTTATCAAATAGCACACCTAGGTTCCTAACTGATGACGAAGAATTGACAGAGCAGCCATCAAATGTTAGACAGTGTTCTAGGTTATTACATGTGGAAGTTTTAGGTCCGATAATTAACCCTTCTTCGTTTTTTCAGAATTTAGCAGTAAGAAATTAATCGCCATCCAGTTTTTTATATTGACTATGCATTCCATTATTTTTTCAAATTGGTATGTTTCGCCAATAATTACAATTATTTACCTCAGCTGCCAGTAGTAACTGTAGCAGAATTAACTAGTTGCTTTATTATCATGTTACTAGCATGCATATTGGTAATTTATTATTACTTACAAAGCACATATTATTCTGATCATATTTTAGATCCCTTAATCCTACCGTATACCTAAACTTAACAGCTACCTTAAACTATTAAGAAGCAGCAAATTAGGAGTTTAAGGCAAAAGTGTGTTTTTTTTTTTAAATTAACTGTTTTTTGGCTTTTGTTTTACTTTTCCCACCTCCAAAATATCATAACTTTTGCTAAGCCCTTTAGCACTGTATGTTGTTTCGTTTAATTCAGATCACTCTCCCAAGTAAGAAAAGAATCAGCTTACAGGCAAGTGCTAATATGAAAAGTAATAATATGAATCAAATTTTACTCCACATTGACTTCAGATCTAAAATATTTTTAGTATTTGGCAAATACCATGGTTATGAAACTAAAATGTCAGTGCCATTAAATTGATTTGTACTGTCAGTAAACCAGATTGCTGTGGCTGAAATTGAATGTGGACTGTTTCTTAAGGGCAAATTCACAGTTGGTAATAACAACAAAAACACAGTAGCACAGTCTCAAGAGAATGCACATTCTGAAAGTTTGGTTATAACACCATGAGGGCTGAATGTGTACTGGAAACATGATTCTGGGAAGGAACGCAAGGTCATTTTGGTAGTCAGAGCTGCCCAGATCTGACGCTGAATTCCCCAGAGTTAAGTTGCTCTCTCTTCCTCTTTCTCCTTCTGTATTCCTATCAGAAGAACTTTTTGTCATACCTACCAATAGTGAGTAAATTAAGAAAAAATAGACTTGCCATAAATATTTCTTGCTATCTATAAAAGCTTTCAGCTAATTTTTTGTCCCGATGATAATATTTAGCTGCTTTATTTTTGCATGTTTATGACATGGCATTATATATGAAATAGCATAGCCATATTCAGTAAGTAATTTAAGTCGCTAGAAGCCCTTTGATTAATATATTCATACTCTGTCCATCTGTGTGCTTGTTTTATTGAATTCTTTATGTCTTGCTGCCTCTGTTTGTCTGACTTGAATCTGTTCAATTCGGATGGAATATATTAATAATGAGATGAGAGGCAGGCGAATGTGTGCACAAATGTGTCTTTCTTTCTTTTGTTCCGCGCTGTCAGATACACCCTCTGCTCCTACAGGAGAAGAGGACTGACACCTGCAAATCCAGACTGCTGCGTCGCACCATCAGTGTTCCTGTGGAGACGCAGTTCCCGGAATTCCAGTGTCATCTCTCAGTGGACAACAGTGAGTGTACTACTGTTACTCCACGTGTTTACAACACGGCCAGGGTCTCTCATGGTCATAGAAAACCTGGGAATATAAGGGAATTTAAAACTTTTTATTATAGTTTTGTA